ACACAGACACACACACAGTACACAGACACACATACAGTACACAGACATACAAACACTACACAGACATACACTACACAGACACACACAGTACACAGACATACACACAGTACACAGACACACACACAGTACAGACACACACAGTACACAGACACACATACAGTAATAGACATACATACAGTACACAGATATATAGTATACAGACACACATACAGTACAGACATACATACATACAGTACAGACACAGATACAGTACATAAACACACACACAGTATACACACATACAGTATAAAGACACAATACAGTGCACAGACACACATACAGTACACAGACACACATGCAGGCAAAACATCCACAAACATAAAATGAACAATAAAAACTTAAACAAATGGAAACATTAGAGCTAAAGTACAGTAGCTGAAGTAGAAATTGCGTTGAGTGTGCTCGGCAGCAGTATGAAAAGTGAGAAACAGAAGTTGAAGCACAGGGACGAGGGAATCAGCGGAGCCTGGGCTGTAATCTGACAGTGCTGTAACAGTCTAAGAAATAAACGAGAAAGCAGACAGCTAAAGCAGAATTCAACCAGCCATGGCTAAAACTAACATCAGGGAGGAGACAGAGACCTTTAGAACCCCAAGTAAGATAAAACCCAAAGATATCCATCTAGGTCAAGACACATGATAATTAAAATCAACAACCAAAAAAAAAAAACAAGAAAAAAACCAAAGCAACGTGAGAAGCTGAAGCCATTCCTAAAAAAGCTGTGGGAACTATCAACCATACATTTCCCACTACAGACCACAGAGTAGGCAGCACAGAGTAATGAGAACCAAAGCTAGAAACGCTACATCTGGATAGCATGGTTTTCAAGCATGAAGAGGAAGATAACTCTTATAGATATGCAAGGAAAAAATGTTTAAAACCATAGCTGATAAAACAAACTTAAAAGATGGGCTTTAATTGGTTGGTGAATTGACGAAAGGAAGACATGAAATTGTTCCAAAAGATATAAGGGAGGAAGCAGAGAAGTATGCCAAGGAGTCTTTGAAGGAAGAAGATGAATCAGATGATGACAATATGTAACATTTTCTTCATCTCTTCTCTTTTACATTTCTGTGACAGTTTGATACGACTAGCACCATGGATCATATATACTCACTGACCAATTTTCATTAAATTTTGTCTTATAAACAACAACAACAAAAAGTTCTCTAAACTAAGAGCAAGTGAGGAGACTCAGACAAAGGTACCCACTGCCAAGCCTGAAGACCAGAGAACTATTTCCATGACTCATACAGAAGAAGAGAAGTAACTCCTGTAAGCTGTCCTCTGACACACACATGCCTGTGTCAACACACAACAGTGGGCAAAAATAAGACAGACAAAGACAGACAGACAGACTGATGCAACTGAAAAAGAATTTGAATTGAAAAATAAATAACAGAAACAACAAAAAAGAAGGGAATAAAAATATCCATAAATCCAATGGACTTTCTTTCTCCCTTGAGTTTTTGAGACTATAAACGGCTAAGCAAGAACTGTAATCCATAGACTACATAAAAACCCTTAGCACCGGGCTGGAGAGATGACTCAGCGGGTGACACCTCCTGATCTTCCAGAGAATCGGGGCTCAGTTTCCAGCATGCACATGGCAGCTAAGAATTCTCTAGAGTTCTAGTTCCAGGGGATTCCATACCTTTTTCTGGCTTCAGTGAGCACTGCACATATGTGCTGACCAGACATATACACAGGCAAAATGCCCATACACATAAAAATAAAAATTTTAAAACTTAAAAAAAAAAGCATCAGGCATGGAAAGCCTCCCTTTGAGTTGCTGGTTAGGGGATTCCCAAAGACTCCCAAACCAATGCGGGTGATCTTCTTTGCCCTTGGCTGCCTCCCAAAACTGAAGGCAAGACTTTATTTGCTGAAGACACCACACACTTTGGACATAGAACTTGGAGAAATGGAGCTGGAAGTAATTTGGAAGACTCTTCTCTGAGGACTAGCTCTTATAGTACCTGAAGTGCTATGCGGGCAGCCAAGGGGAAAAAGAAATCAAATAGAGTTACCCAGATCTAAAGCTATGGACCACAATAACCAGCATGGATGAAGTCGCCAAAGGTGCAATAGCAGCACTTACATCTTGAGGGTAACCAACAGCCATCAAATTGAAAAAAGCAAGCTTTAGTAGGAGGGAATTCATGTCTGACACTGTAAACACAGACAACCACTGAGCTGAAGTCACTTCTTTTTGCAGCAGACGGAGAACACTACAGAAATCCACGTTACAGAAATCCACACTAGAGAAATCCACACTAAAGAAATCCACAACCATAGAAATCCACACTACAGAAAAAAAAAAAAACACTAATGCCAATGATACATTTCCAACAATCCCTACACCTAAGGGAACAACACAGAACAGCAGAAAGATTCCAAGTCAGAGGACCAGGGCGTCTACTGTGAGATAGTGCCTTCCAAATATGACAGGGAAGATGTATCTATCTAAAGAATTACGGTCACTTAATCAAGTCCTGCGGAATGACAGCATCAATTGACATACCACTGGGTATGGGGAAATTTCACCAGGTCCTACCCCAAGATGAAGGTATATATGGGAATTTATGGCTGCTAAGATGATGTGGGATTCCCCTCTGTAGGCTGTTATTATGTTTTATTGCCATTGGTCATTAAAGAAGCTGCTTCTGGTCAATGGCGTAACAGAGTAAAGCCAGGTGGAAAATCTGAACCAATGTAGCGAGAAAGTAGGTGGAGTCAGAGAGACACCATGTAGCTGCCAAAGGAGAAATGCCCGTCCACAGGATCCTTACTGGTAAACCATAAGCCTCATGGTAAAATATAAAATAATAGAAATGGGTAAATATAAGATGTAAGAACTAGTTAGAAATATGCTTTCAGCTATTGGCCAAGTAGTGTAATTAATACAGTTTTTGTGTGATTATTTTGGGTCTGGGAGGTCAGGAAATGAACAAGCAGTCTCTACCACACTGAGACACCAGAATCAGTTTTCTCTAGTAATAAGCCCTAGATAAATTATCTAATTCCATGCTGTCAGTCCTAAACACACATATGAGCAACATTAAATGGATTACAGATTCCAAAGGTTTTGTGTGTGTGTGTGTGTGTGTGTGTGTGTAAAATAATAATTAA